TTATTATTATGTAATCTAATGGAAAGTAGAGGTCTACCTACCAACCAGTAATAAAAAAAAAATTATCAGAATTATTCATGGCCTGATTCCATGGCAACGAGATCAAAATCTCTACCTTGCATATCAAATGTAGCGAGTAGATGTGACAGGTTGTCCAATTTTTGCACAATTTTCTCTGTTTTTTTCTTCCATCTAACGCACTTTTGACTTAACTGAGTCCTATGTAATTTTTTTATTTTTATTTTATTATTATTATTATTTTTGCAACAAGATTGCGAACCCAAAATACAATCTCAAAAGAAAAGAAAAGGGAGAATTGCAAAAAATGGTATGCATTTAAAATAATTATAAAAAGATTATTTTGGAGTTCATACCATTTTTTTTACAATTGTTCCAAAAGAAAAGAACCCTTATCATTATTATTTTAACCCTTTTTATTTTTGTTTATTTTATTGAATTTTGTGGGGTGCGATATGAGACATTTCATAGGTGTCAGCATTTTATTTCTTAGAGTTTTTTTTTTTTAAAATTTCCTAGAGTGGTGCATTGTGTGGTTGAGATTTAATGACAAGTCACATCAATTTTTCAACATTAAATCTCAATCACACAATACATCACTTTAGAAAACTTTAAAAAAAAAACACTCTAGAGGATCCTTGGTGCTTTAATGGTGGGTTATATGGCTTGCTATTTTTATATTTTGTCTTGAAGTTTTTAAATTTTTACGCTAATGATAAGGTATATGACTTGCTATATATTATTTAGCATTTTTTGATTTTTTGAGTATTTTAGTCTGGGGCTAAAAAGCCTGGTTTGGGAAGGATTTTTTGACTTTTTGACTTTTTTGACTTTTTTTGTGAGAGAGGAATGTAATGATTATGGGTTGAATTTGATGTTTTATTTTTTGTGGCTAAAATAGCCTATTTTATTTTTTTGTGACTATTTTAGCCCCTAACCTACCAAATTTATAAGTAAATATTGTGTCAAATATAACGCAAGTTTTACCTATAACTAAAATTTTTATGTTTTTTTTTTTTTTGACTTTTTTTTTTTTTTTTTTTTTTTTGGGATCCACATATAGCATTTTGATTTGACATTTTGTGTGAAAAGTTAAAATTTTTACAATGTATCATTAGAGCAAAATTGTTAAAATTAAAATATTTTAATACTATTTATTACTAAATTATAGCAATAACTAGCTCTTTTTACCTAGCCCTTTTTACCTATCCAACCATTGGAGATGCGCGATGCAGCAATTTTTATTTCTTTAGGCCAAGTTTGGCATCCTCCAAAAAATTTAAAAAGTCAAAAAGTCACTATCCTATTTAAGTCACATCATCTTATTTAAGTCACATCACCTCTCTAACACATCACTTCAAACTCAACCCAAATCCAACTCATATTTCATAAAAAGTCAAAAAGTACACTTATTTAGTCTTCCCAAACTTGGCCTTAGTTTCCCAGTGTTTCTTCTGCTTTCACTATGTTTCTCTCATCTTTACTAATTCAATCAAACATGTGATATGAATCAAGATAAATGCATTATTTTTAATATTTCAAATCACTCAAATCCAAACGGACTGTTTTGAAGTTCCATCCTAAATTTGGTTTCAGAAAATTGAATCCACTTTTCAAAATTTGGGTTTTTTATTTTTCATATGTATATATATATATATATATTTGTTTTCATACATATATATATTTTTGTTTTTAGTGAATTTTTTTAAAAAAATTTATGTATTTTTTAGATATATCTAATCTAAATATGCTTAAAAAGTATAATATTCAATGAATTTTTAAAAGTTTTTTGTATAATTTTTATACTTTTTAAGTATATTAAGATTAAGTGAATCTAAAAATTAAAAAAAAAAAAATTTGATTAAAATATTTAAAAATTTTATTAAAAATATATAAATACAAATTGAAAATTCAAAAAACTATTTTTGAAAATTGAAAACAAATCGGGTGAATAATTCCAGAACAAGGCCCACCTATTTGGTTTCCACGATTGATGCAATGATGTATTTTGGGTGCCACATTTTCTAATAATTATTCTTGTCTTTGGCCATGTGAGGAAATGAATTATTTGAAAAACAAAAAGTCACGGTTGAGATCATTTTTATGCAAAAAAATTATCCCCCCGAAAAAAGATGTCATTTTGTTACTTCCTGCATGTCAAGTCTTTTTCTTTTTGTCTTGTTTTATTTTATTTTTTAAATGGATTTGGGTGTCCATATCTTGTGTCTGTATCTATGCTATATATAAGAAGGACGTGTAATGATGAAATCTTATATTTCATAAAATTTGAGAGTTCTGATCCACTGGAAAACTGATGCATAATGGACAACAAAAGGAACCCGTTAGAGTTGGACAGCAAGATTATTCTCATTTGTTAAAACAAAAAAGAAAGAGAAAAACAAAAAGAGGGATAAGCCAAGTGAATCAGATGAATCCAATGCAGCGATGTTGACTGACAATGTTATGGAAACACTGTAGTAGGGATTTCTATCTGTTTGCTTAGATGGGTTGACGACAATGCCACCATTGATCTGCATGATCCAACCCAATACAATTTATAAAAGGTGGCAGTGCTCCCCTGAATGAAAGAAAACCAAGCAAGATTCTCTTTGTTAATAACATAGTTCGCTTCTAACAATAAGATAAAGTTGCTGGTTCCAGACTTAAAAGTTTGTCATTGGAATGTGTGAAATCTTCTAATGATTTTTAGATTCTTTTGAGTTGTAGCAAGCCTGGGATAAAAAAAGGTACATCATGGAACTTTGACAATGATATTGGTCCCACTACATAATATTCCTTAATTTTTGTTACTTGTGATTTATTTGGACCTGGTCCTAAGGTCTAGTTGGCATCATAAATTGGATAGGATTTTGTATTCTACCACAAAAAATATTACGGATACAAACTGATTATAAAGCCAACTTTCGAACAAGCATAAAATGGTTCAAATCTATAGATATGAACCCCCTTGGCATATTTGTTCAGTGGTGTTGTTGGTTCCATGTCCGTAGTATTTTTGTTCTACCATTGACTTTGACCACAGGAATAATTGCCATTGGATTTTAAAGGTTGCCTTTTGATTTTGAACAATGATATTCACATTCCACTTTAAACAGCTCACACTATTTTTTGTCTTTTAGCCTCTCACAAGGGGAGTATGAAAGGATAAAATTGGAGTGTGAATATCATTATTCTTAATTGTTGGTTTAAAAAATATTAATTTTTTAGTTTTAACCTTTAGATCATAATAGTATTGAATGGGTCCTTAATTTGTAATTCAAATACTCCAATATTATGGTATGATACACTATGTACAGTACAAGACAACAAAGACTATAAGTGAATAAGTTCTAGAAGGAGAAAAAGAATTTGAAGGAAGGGAAATTACTTCTAGTTCACAACATACTGCTAATGTGGGAGACCTTATTTTAGATGAGAAAGATGGCGAGGGTTACAAATTTTGTGATGACAATGTTGAGGATGATAATTATAAACTTTAGGATTGCATTTGCTTATGGTAGGCATAGAAGCTGCTGCTTACCATTCTAGTGCTTTGTTGTCTTCTCCTTTTGGGCATATTGTGATTCAGTCATGTATTTCATTTTGACCATGGCTATCAAATATCATGGCTGTGAATACTTTTTAAAACACAAGGAAAATTATATAAAAGCTAGGTTTAAATGATATGAGTAGTTAGTTGGTCAGTTATTTGTCATATTATTCATTAATAATGGTTTTTAAATTTACTTCATAAAATTTTAAAAAATTGAACAAGTCTATAAAATTTGCACCAACAACCTTTCTAGAAATGTATAGGATTAACCATTATATTATTTTTTTTAAAAATTTGTCTTTTAGTTCAATCATGTCGCACTTGCTGTTGCACTTTGTGTTTGGGCTCCACGAGGCCTTCGCCCTTATGTGTGCCTCATGCTTTCACCAACACCTTCCGAGCAACAATAATACACCACTGGAAAGAAAATACATTGAACTAAACTATATTATAGTAGGGTTCTTTCTTTCTTTCATTTTCCATTTTTCTTTTGGGAGAAGATATGTCATGACCCCAAACCACCTCAAGCTAGAATAGGGTAATGACTGGCTAGTAGTCATAGACTACCAAACGCTTAATCAAACAAAACGTATGGTACTATAAATTTGGAGTATATCCTGATTGGATTGTAGAAGCTTACATATATCCATTTAGAACAAGTGCACAAATTGAAGAAATGGAAGCTTATACTACCAACTTAGGCTCATTTACATCGGAGTACAATTGACAACGTAAGGGAAAGTACAAATCGAAGTATCAAGCTGGAAATATACAATGACCTCAAAATGTCAAAGCTCTTCCTTCTCAAGGGGATATGCACATATACATGAAGCTTGAATCACATGGTCTTCAAGTACCGTCATCACCTACATATATAGGGAAGAGGGATGAGCCAAAAATCCAATGAACAAAGAGATATATCAAAGCCATTTTAGAACAAACAAGGATATCTCTAAACAATTTATAATACCTAAACAAAAAGTTTACAAAAGCTTAACTAACATTTGAACTACAACATATTATATACTTTGCATTTCAATCATTGTGACAATGTCCATCTAGACGGTACTAAACATGACTGGGTCAACTGTAGCTATATGTCAAAACCACAATGTGGTAAGACCTCTCAATGACAAAACTATTAGTATATTTTACGGCCCTAATAGTATCTTGGATCAAAACCATGGATGTCATCTTTATACATTGAACATAGCAGACATATGATATTCTTGAGTGATAAAAAATTTCACATCACTCACCTTAACCCTACCGAAGTATGTTAGTCCACAAGATAATTAACCTACATAAGTATTATCTTCTTATTTTTTTATATAAATTTAAAAAAAAAAAAAAAACTGATTTTTTATTTACGTCTTAAAATAAGACAAAAATCAGAATAAAACACAGAGCACCTGCTATATCTCTATATATAGATGGGTCGGGATGCGGGATTCGGGATTCGATAGAAACACAAACCAACACCACCTCTGTGTCAAAGGTGAATATTACGGAGTTTCAGAATTTTAGAGAGAGAGAGGGGAATGGGGGCTTGCTTTTCGGATGCGAAGGGAGGGCAAATGGCAGTTGGAGGGGCCGTACAACGGAAGACAATGAACAGTGGCGGTGTTAGTACTACTACTGGTGGAGCCGCACACAACGATGCTGTCGACTTTTTCTTGAGAACCAAAGGTCTTAACGCTCTCTTCACGCAAATTGAGGTATACATCTTTTGCTTCTCTCTTCTCTTCTCTGCAATTAACAACCACCACACAAACAAAAGCTCCTTACCAACCACACAAAGCCCTAATTGTCATTGTCATTGTAACCCTCCCTTGTGTTGTGTCCACTTTCATCACCTCACTTGGTCAATGTTTATCTTTTATTTTCCTTTCTTTGGGTCCTTTTCGCGTTTTTGCGAAGTCTCCCTTCCTCTGCCTATTTATTATTATGTAATCTAATGGAAAGTAGAGGTCTACCTACCAACCAGTAATAAAAAAAAAATTATCAGAATTATTCATGGCCTGATTCCATGGCAACGAGATCAAAATCTCTACCTTGCATATCAAATGTAGCGAGTAGATGTGACAGGTTGTCTAAATTTTGCACAATTTTCTCTGTTTTTTTCTTCCATCTAACCCACTTTTGACTTAACTTAGTCCTATGTAATTTTTTTTATTTTTATTTTATTATTATTGCAACAAGATTGCGAACCCAAAATACAATCTCAAAAGAAAAGAAAAGGGAGAATTGCAAAAAATGGTATGCATTTAAAATAATTACAAAAAGATTATTTTGAGTTCATACCATTTTTTTTACAATTGTTCCAAAAGAAAAGAACCCTTATTATTATTATTAATTTCTTTTTTAACCCTTTTTATTTTTGTTTATTTTATTGAATTTTGTGGGGTGCGATATGAGACATTTCATTGGTGTCAGCATTTTATTTCTTCTCCATATTAGAGCATCTTTAATGGTGGGTTATATGGCTTGCTATTGTTATATTTTGGTCAAGTTTGGCTAACGTAAAAAAGTGCACTTATTTTATCTTTTTATCTTTTTTGGGTCACATCAATCAACATCTCCTCTCTATTTTTTCTACACATAATATAAAAAAAATCAAAAAGTGTACTTATTTAGTCTTCTCAAACTTGGCCTTTGTCTTGAAGTTTTTAAATTTTTAGACTAATGATAAGGTATATGACTTGCTATATATTATTTATAGGTAAATATTGTGTCAAATATAACACAAGTTTTACCTATAACTAAAATCTTTATGTTTTTTTTTTTTTTTTTTTTTTTTTTTTTTTTTTTTCTAGGAATCCACATATAGCATTTTGATTTGACATTTTGCGTGAGAAGTTAAAATTTTTACAATGTATCATTAGAGCAAAATTGTTAAAATTAAAATATTTTAATATTATTTATTGCTAAATTATAGCAATAACTAGCTCTTTTTACCTAGCACTTTTTACCTATCCAACCATTGGAGATGCGCGATGCAGCAATTTTTATTTCTTTAGTTTCCCAGTGTTTCTTCTGCTTTCACTATGTTTCTCTCATCTTTACTAATTCAATCAAACATGTGATATGAATCAAGATAATGCATTATTTTTAATATTTCAAATCACTCAAATCCAAACGGACTGTTTTGAAGTTCCATCCTAAATTTGGTTTCAGAAAATTGAATCCACTTTTCAAAAATTGGGTCTTTTATTTTTCATATGTATATATATATATTTTTGTTTTTAGTGAACTTTTTAAAAATATTTTACGTATTTTTTAGATACACCTGATCTAAATATGCTTAAAAAGTATAATATTCAATGAATTTTTAGAAGTTTTTTGTACAATTTTTATACTTTTTAAGTATATTAAGATTAAGTGAATCTAAAAATTACAAAAAAAAAAAAAATTGATTAAAATATTTAAAAATTTTATTAAAAATATAAAAATACAAATTAAAAATTCAAAAAACTATTTTTGAAAATTGAAAACAAACCGGGTGAATAATTCCAGAACAAGGCCCACTTATTTGGTTTCCAGGATTGGTGCAATGATGTATTTTGGGTGCCACATTTTCTAATAATTATTCTTGTCTTTGGCCATGTGAGCAAATGAATTATTTGAAAAATAAAAAGTCACGGTTGAGATCATTTTTATGCAAAAAAATTATCCTCCCGAAAAAAGATGTCATTTTGTTACTTCCTGCATGTCAAGTCTTTTTCTTTTTGTCTTGTTTTATTTTATTTTTTAAATGGATTTGGGTGTCCTTGTCTTGTGTCTGTATCTATGCTATATATAAGAAGGACGTGTAATGATGAAATCTTATATTTCATAAAGTTTGAGAGTTCTGATCCACTGGAAAACTGATGCATAATGGACAACAAAAGGAACCCGTTAGTTGAACTGTACAATATGATAAAGTTAACTACCTTTCCTAGTTAGAGTTGGACAGCAAGATTATTCTCATTTGTTAAAACAAAAAAGAAAGAGAAAAACAAAAAGAGGGATAAGCCAAGTGAATCAGATGAATCCAATGCAGCGATGTTGACTGACAATGTTATGGAAACACTGTAGTAGGGATTTCTATCTGTTTGCTTAGATGGGTTGACGACAATGCCACCATTGATCTGCATGATCCAACCCAATACAATTTATAAAAGGTGGCAGTGCTCCCCTGAATGAAAGAAAACCAAGCAAGATTCTCTTTGTTAATAACATAGTTCGCTTCTAACAATAAGATAAAGTTGCTGGTTCCAGACTTAAAAGTTTGTCATTGGAATGTGTGAAATCTTCTAATGATTTTTAGATTCTTTTGAGTTGTAGCAAGCCTGGGATAAAAAAAGGTACATCATGGAACTTTGACAATGATATTGGTCCCACTACATAATATTCCTTAATTTTTGTTACTTGTGATTTATTTGGACCTGGTCCTAAGGTCTAATTGGCATCATAAATTGGATAGGATTTTGTATTCTACCACAAAAAATATTACGGATACAAACTGATTATAAAGCCAACTTTCGAACAAGCATAAAATGGTTCAAATCTATAGATATGAACCCCCTTGGCATATTTGTTCAGTGGTGTTGTTGGTTCCATGTCCGTAGTATTTTTGTTCTACCATTGACTTTGACCACAGGAATAATTGCCATTGGATTTTAAAGGTTGCCTTTTGATTTTGAACAATGATATTCACATTCCACTTTAAACAGCTCACACTATTTTTTGTCTTTTAGCCTCTCACAAGGGGAGTATGAAAGGCTAAAATTGGAGTGTGGATATCATTATTCTTAATTGTTGGTTTAAAAAATATTAATTTTTTAGTTTTAACCTTTAGATCATAATAGTATTGAATGGGTCCTTAATTTGTTATTCAAATACTCCAATATTATGGTATGATACACTATGTACAGTACAAGACAACACAGACTATAAGTGAATAAGTTCTAGAAGGAGAAAAAGAATTTGAAGGAAGGGAAATTACTTCTAGTTCACAACATACTGCTAATGTGGGAGACCTTATTTTAGATGAGAAAGATGGCGAGGGTTACAAATTTTGTGATGACAATGTTGAGGATGATAATTATAAACTTTAGGATTGCATTTGCTTATGGTAGGCATAGAAGCTGCTGCTTACCATTCTAGTGCTTTGGCCCTGTTTGGTAGAGCTGTGGGAAAGTGCTTATAGCTTATGCCTAAACAGCTTATAGCTTATAACTTTCAGCTTAAGCTGATTTCCAGCTTATTCTTAAAGCATCTCCTGCCCCACTCAAAGAATAAGCTGTTTTCTGACTTCCACAAAGCTATAAGCTATAAGCTATAAGCTATAAGCTAAACCAAACACATCAAACTAGCTTAAATTAAGCTGAAAGCTGAAATAAGCTGAAATTAAGCTGTACCAAACAGGGCCTTTGTTGTCTTTTCCTTTTGGGCATATTGTGATTCATTCATGTATTTCATTTTGACCATGGCTATCAAATATCATGGCTGTGAATACTTTTTAAGACACAAGGAAAATTATATAAAAGCTAGGTTTAAATGATATGAGTAGTTAGTTGGTCAGTTAATTGTCATTTTATTCATTAATAATGGTTTTTAAATTTGCTTCATAAAATTTTAAAAAATTGAACAAGTCTATAAAATTTGCACCAACAACCTTTCTAGAAATGTATAGGATTAACCATTATATTATTTTTTTTAAAAATTTGTCTTTTAGTTCAATCATGTCGCACTTGCTGTTGCACTTTGTGTTTGGGCTCCACGAGGCCTTCGCGCTTATGTGTGTCTCATGCTTTCACCAACACCTCCCGAGCAACAATAATACACCACTGGAAAGAAAATACATTGAACTAAACTATATTATCGTAGGGTTCTTTCTTTCTTTCATTTTTCATTTTTCTTTTGGGATAAGATATGTCAGGACCCCAAACCACCCCAATCTAGAATAGGGTAATGACTGGCTAGTAGTCATAGACTAACAAAGGCTTAATCAAACAAAACATATGGTACTATTAATTTGGAGTATATCCTGATTGGATAGTAGAAGCTTACATATATCCATTTAGAACAAGTGCACAAATTGAAGAAATGGAAGCTTATACTACCAACTTAGGCTCATTTACATCGGAGTACAATTGACAACGTAAGGGAAAGTACAAATCGAAGTATCAAGCTGGAAATATACAATGACCTCAAAATGTCAAAGCTCTTCCTTCTCAAGGGGATATGCACATATACATGAAGCTTGAATCACATGGTCTTCAAGTACCGTCATCACCTACATATATAGGGAAGAGGGATGAGCGAAAATCCAATGAACAAAGAGATATATCAAAGCCATTTTAGAACAAACAAGGATATCTCTAAACAATTTATAATACCTAAACAAAAAGTTTACAAAAGCTTAACTAACATTTGAACTACAACATATTATATAATTCGCATTTCAATCATTGTGACAATGTCCATCTAGACGGTACTAAACATGACTGGGTCAACTGTAGCTATATGTCAAAACCACAATGTGGTAAGACCTCTCAATGACAAAACTATTAGTATGTTTTACGGCCCTAATAGTATCTTGGATCAAAACCATGGATGTCATCTTTATACATTGAACATGGCAGACATATGATATTCTTGAGTGATAAAAAATTTCACATCACTCACCTTAACCCTACCGAAGTATGTTAGTCCACAAGATAATTAACCTACATTAGCATAAATACAATGCATATCGGTACATGATTCAAACATAACAGAATCAGGGCAATTCACTTTGTTGAATAACCCTACTTCCAAAATTAAGTCATCTAGGATAAGTCAAGGTCCAAAAATCGTGTTTAGAGTCTTAAAAGTCTTACATTATGTTTTAGGGCTAAATATAGATCAAAGAGGCCAAAACAGTAAAAATATTGGTTTGCAGAGTCTTGCTTGAGTGGCCAACTCAAATGAGCTGGCAAACTTGGTGGATTAACTTCAAATGGGCATATCTCCTTCTTTAAAATTGGAAAAAATTTTCATCTAAATTGAGGCCTAGAAGTCTAGATTCCAATGGTGATGGTCTCATATCGAAATTCTAAGCTGTTGGGGATTTTGGTCATTCTTGAACAATTGGCTACTCTAGGCCATCGTCAAAAGTCTAAAAACTCATTCTAGGATCCTCTAAGGTATCTAAGAACATGAAATACAATACCTAAAAGTCATAAACAGGAGAGGGCCTCATTATTCTTATTAAATCTCTTATAATTAAGGATTTCTCCCAACTAAAAAGGGTTAATCCAATTCAGACATGGTGTCCAACCCTAATTCCTTCAATACATGGAGCATGGGTACTTCGACAAACATGCCTTACCAGTACTGGGTACATATCGGGTACTGGTACTTCGTATGGTACTTCTGCATATGCACTAAGTACACGAAACACATATCCAACTTTTTTTTCTTCTTAATTTTTGGCATACCGAAACATACTTAGTATATATACCCAAGCCGTACCCGTACCTCAATTTAAACAATATTTTCTTCTAATACAAAGATAAAGTTAAATTTGTTGGACTTCTTTTTTATTTTTATTTTTATGCTTAGCATGATCTTAAAATTAAGTTATGGTTTGTAAATTATTTAATATAATGACATTTAATTTTAGTTTATACTTTTACTTTTGCCATTAAATGTGAATTGTAGGTTGGATTTTAATAAATTAAATCATCTAACTATTTTTAGCATTGCTCCAAATTAAAAATACATATTTGTTACAAACGTATCTACTTGTACCTGTATCCTACTTTTTTTAAGTTTTACTGGATTGACGTACCCATATTGTACCAATACCAGTTCTTGTACCTGTGCTTCATAGCCTTCAATTAATCAATTTGAATTCACTTTAATCATGTTATTTTGAGATTATAGAAGATATTAGATTACAATTAATGAATTTTACCTTAATTTTTAAGAAACCTTGAGCTGTGCTGTTTCTTCCATTTTACTTCACTTTCTCTTTAACTAAACACTACAAAATTCTGCACAAGTTCCTCTCTTCTCTCTCTCTCCCTCTGCTTTTATAATTTCTAGTTTAATTTTATAATTTTCGGAGTTTTGAGTTTGTTTTAGAAACCTTAAGCTGTACTCTTTCTTCCATTTTACTTCACTTTCTCTTTAACTAAACACTACAAAATTCTGCACAGGTCCTCTCTTCTCTCTCTCCCTTTGCTTTTATAATTTCTAGTTTAATTTTATAATTTTCGAAATTTTTAGAGAGACAAGTGTCTCTCTCTCCCTCTTGAGTCATGCCTCCTAGTAGGAAGTGCGGTGTGTGCTTTATCTTCCAACTTCTTAATCACTATTTTATCTTTATTAATCATGGTTAACACTTATTAATTGAGATCAAGTCAACTAAGCATGTTTAGCCTTGTTAATTATGCTCAAGGTTAACTAATCCCAATTAAGTCCACTAATCATGTTTTGTTAGCAGTAATCTAAGTTTTATACAATGAATAGAATCTAGCAACCTTAGACTACGGCGTTTACACATCTTAATTAAGGGAATAAAAGCATGCAGACTTACGTTATGTATAAAAGAGTGTCTCCCTAGTTATTGTCTCTAAGTTCTAATTCATTTCATATCAACTGAACATGTAGAGAACCCTAAACAATAAAGATAACATATTGAGTCTACTTCTCAAAACAAACAATATAGCATGCCATCCAAGATTCTTATCACAAACAAGAAGGCATAACTCTAAATGTAATAAACTAGTAATGAAAATAAGAAATATGGAGATGTAAAGGAAATGTTAACAACTAGGGTGTTACACATATTTGATTTTTCTAAGGAACTTGTGGCTCTCTCTTTTGTAGAATCTGTCCATGCAATTTTATTGTTCATGGTGTGATAATGTATCTCAATTTTGAACCGCAGTTATCTCTATCCGCTTCCAAATTACTTGATCGTGACATTGTTTCCAAGGTAAGCTTTTCTTACTACTAAAACCATATGAGAACTGTATCTTCTTTGTGCAATGATTCTGTTGAATTATTTTTGTGGATACAGTTGTTTTTGCTATGGTTGATTTTTTTATTGCCATCTCATCATGGATTCATCACTTTTTGTACAAGATTGTCATCATGTTCGTGGCTGTCCTTATCATGATGCTAAGAATAAGCTCAGCTATTATTTATAACTTCTGCTGTTTTGTTTTTTGTGTGATTCTCAGTATATTGACCTTTGAGAAGCTAATATTAGGAGTCAAATGTGAAAGGTACAAAAAGATTGTTCAAAAGAAACCTAGACAAGAGCTCCTAATAGTTGAATCTCGTTTTTGAAGATTGATGTTTTCTACATCACCTAGTTGTTAGTCAGACGGGATGTGATAGTAAAAATGATATGGATTATTTAATTTAATTGAGTATATAATCTTTGATAGAGTGGAATGGCACCTGTTTGGGATGCAACCTAGTTTGGTTTGGTAATGATACCATGTGAGCCAGTTAAGTAGGGATGCTAGTTTCTTTTGCTTATTAAGCAACACCAGGCTGTTTATTTTGATTCGAATACAGTTCAGAAGAATTTATTCTCCTTTTGGGGAATCAATAAAGAGCAGCTTTCACTTGGCGCATTGTGTCTTTCTCGTCCCTGTGACTGATATAAAGCTGTAATTGAAACCCTAGAAGCCATTATCTTCTTGTCCCAACTTTAAGCTAATTCACTCTTAACTATATCTACTTTACTAACTGTTGGCTCTTTCTCTAGTTTCCTCACAACCATCTGTCATAATGTCGCAGTATAATTATGTTTATCTTCTCAAATTCACTCTTTATCTCAATGCATGAATTTCAATACCAAAATCTGAACATATGCAATAAGTTTGAAACAATATATCCAAATATATGGTTCAAATTTTTAGAAGTAACGCTAACCTCAATTTAACATCTTTGGCATGACATAGCTATGTTGACAATTCTACATGTAAAGGAAATAATGAGATGATAGTATGCCTTTAGCTCATGTAAGGGGATGAGTACGTTAGATTGAATATAGTCCTTTAGGTTCTAACATCTGTGGAGATGTTTCCCTATGTAGAAGGAGGGTGCGCACTGCATATTTGAGTTGCCTCTCTTGCCTCTCAAGAAATATTGGGAAGTGGGGCTTGGACCGTAAAAATTTTGAGTTCAATTTACAACTAAGCCATTTATTATTAAGTACTTACCAGATTTAAGAGAAAATGACTCACTTGTGCAAGAGACAGCGCATAGCTACTTAGCTCAGTAATGTACTCATTGATATGTACTAAGGTGTTATGCCAGCCCTTATCCTCAGATGGTTCAAACTGAAGTATTATCTTGTTCAATGCAGAGTGATCCTATTGCAGTAGTTTATATAAAGAAAAGAGATGGATCGCTTGAGGAACTTGGTCGCACCGAAGTGATAATGAACTCTTTGGAACCTGCATGGATTGAGAAAATTAATTTTGCTTATCAGTTTGAGATTGTTCAGCAGTTGGTGTAAGCTTTTTGTACTTGGGATCATCCGATTTATCTTGCTCGTTGCATTTAATAGTTATTTTTCTCTGTTTAATAAGCATTAACAATTTATCTCAAATGTCTGCACATTTTGCTTTTGCAGCTTTCATGTGTATGATGTTGATACAAGATACCACAATTTGCATGTGAAGGTATGTTATGGTTTTTGCTTGAAATTCAATTAGCTTCACCTGGTGTAACTGAGATTTGTTCTCCATTTTGCCAATGCCTCAAAGGTTTGAGTATGTGATGCCCTAGGTCATCCGTGTCCTCTGTTTGGACACTCCTTAGGACAATTTTGTGGGTTTTTTTTAAAAATAATTTTAGATAGCTAATTTGGGAGCAAAGTATAATATATGGAAACAAAGAGGGAAAAGGTGAAAAAATAATAGAAATACACTCATATATAAATGGACGCTTTTTATTTGTGCGCTAAATATATATCCATATACAAAGGCAATAAAAATGTATAATATATATATAAATTTTTCCGTATCACCGATGTGTCCATATCCTAATTTTTTCACAATCATTATGTCCTGTGTCCATTGCTTCTTAGGTTCCAAAGGTGCATAAGTGATTATGTTCTTTACTAGTTTGGTGATGTTAAATTTTAGCTAGATCCAAACTATTACTTATTTAATAATTGAATAATGTCAGTGAAATTTTATCATTGTTTTGACACTCCTTCCAATTTTGTGTTTACTCTCTCTCTCTCTCTCTCTCTCTCTCTCTCTCTCTCTCTTCCCAAAGAACCATTCTTATTAGCATATATGAAATTTTAGAGTTGCTTTTCTCTAACATAAATATATTCACACAACAAGAAAGCAAGAGAGAGCTTTTTTTTTTCTTTGTATTTTTTCTGTTTTTCATTTTGATTCTTAAGCTTATTTAGGAATGCTACTATTATTAATTCTCATAACTCAAGAGCTTCATCTTGTATAATGAAGGGGTCAACTCTGAAATTTGAGGATAAATTAAGTTCACATGCTTATGAGTATAATGAGTAGTGCTCAATGAGTAGCAACTTCTCTCTAGATTAACAAATTGTTAGCAGCTTTTCATCATAAGAGATGGGAAAAAATTGCAGATGATGAAGTTTCATATTTTGGTATCCTGCAGACACTGAAGTTGAAAGATCAAGAATTTCTTGGTGAAGCCAGTTGTGCTATATCTGAGGTAAGTTGCCTTTGATCTAAGGGATTTCACTTAATAATTACTGTGTTCATGTGCTTTTGTGACCATATTAACTCCACATATATTAATGAATTTGCTTACCTGACTTTTCAAACTACCAACTATTTTTAAAAATGTACTAGCAAATGACTCTCATGTACACACCTCTAATAGATGTGTTAAAATTCACCTACTACACACCTACCACTACCACCTACTACACACTCACCTACTTCACCTACTCTCTCCACCTACTCCTCACCTACTACACACTCACCTATTCTCTTCCCACATCCTCTCTTCTATATATAGGAATCATTGTAATATATCAAAAAATCAATCAATAATACAATCATTTCTCTTTATACATTAAATTTCTACATGGTATCAGAGCAGGTTTAGAACCTACTATTTTCGCTTCCCCGGCGGGCGGCAACATCATCTTAGCCGCCCGCCGGACCTCAACCTATTCCGCTTGAATTTTCTACACATACCTTGATCACTCTGCATGTCCTTCCTCCTCCTGCTGCTGAATACTGGTTTGCAACTTTGCTCGGTCAGTTCAATTTACACAAGTTCCTATCCTCTGTCAAAGAGAATGGATTGATGCAACCCTCCGAATCTTCATAGCTAAAAAATCTTGGAAGACACCTTTTGCAACAATGGTGGACGAGGACAATGAATCATCATTGGCTATAGTCCTCGATCTCACAAGCTTCCAGCTACACGATCTCGACTCAGTCGAGCTTCCACCGAGTCTGACCGAGTTGGACCTCACCGCCAATCGACTCTCCACCTTGGACCTCCGGATTGCCCACCTTTCCAACCTCAGGAAGCTCTCTCTTCGCCAGAACCTCTTACACAGCCGCCTCACCCATTTCTCAGCCTACTCTCTCTCTAGATCGAGAGGCCATCCTTCTTCTTCAACAAGCCAGCACTGCCGCCGTTTGCATAGACCTCCATCGCGGCTTCAAGCAACACCGCCGAAGACCCAACCATCAACTTGTTGCAGCTTCGACAGTCGTAGGCGTCGCGGCCCAAGCTGCCACTCACCTTCGGTGCTTCTCTTCAGTGTAACGAGCAGCTCCTCACAGACCCAAACACATCGGAGCTCCATTCCTACTGATCGTAGCTCTCTCAAATCTATGGAGCTTGAGAATGCCATCACAGATCGACGAGTGCTTGTTCTCAATCTTAGATCTGTAGTCTTTGATCTCCGACCTCGGATCTGAGTTTAACCACTATGACTCCGCCGTCACGCGAATCAACAACGGCTAGTCGTCGGAGTCGCTGAAGTTGTCTCTTCTGCCTTAAATCGCCTCAGATCGTCAACAGCATTCTCAAGCTGGTGTGTTTTACTCTCTAGTTGAGAGAGTCTTGCACTGAGCCCATCCACCACATGTAACAGAATCAATGTAGTTCATAGAACTGGAATTTCTGACAAGGGAAGGGCGAGAGTGAGAAGCAGCCAGGGGAGGAACAGGACGAAAACCATAGCTGGGATGGGGATCAAATTCTTCATCGCTTTCTTCGTCGGGGTTAAAGAAGTTGAAGGAGGCTTTGTCTTTGGATCCAGAAAGTTCCATGATTTGCTTGTCCCTGCACTCCGATGACTTCATTGATCCAAATTCAATGTATCTGAACAACAATCCAACCTTCTCCACTCATTTATTTTATTATTATTTTATACAAACCCTACTTTACCCACTTTACCTTTATTTATTTTATTTTATACAAACCCACTTTACCCACTTTCCAACCCACCAAGGCACATGCTTTCGCCATTAATTTTTATTTTTATTTTTTATTATTATTATTATTATTTTTATTACCCAAAAAAAAATAAATAAATAAATAAATAAAACACCATTACAAACAATTTACAAATTTGCACAACCAACCATATTTTATTCATCTCAGGGAACAACCCCGATCACCCTTTTACACAAAAAAAAACAAAAAAAAAAAAAACAAACAAACAAAACAACCACATCCACAGTGGGATTTTTCTTCTCTACTCTACTGCAGGTCTCTTCTTTTTTTGCCTCCGTCCTGAGCGGCCCTTGACGGTGTTGCCTCCGTGCTTCCTCGACCACCAAGCAAGTTGCCTCCTCCATACTCCTCCACTGCAGCATCTGGAGGACCTCCAAATCGGAACATCACGGTGGCCTTCCGCTTCAGCTCCTTATTTTCCGCCTTTAGCACACTTATCTCTGCTCGCGCATCCTTATACATGCGTTGGAGCAGAGCCAGTTGGGCGTTTAACTGCTGCACCTCATTTGTCCTACTCTGCAGCCGGTTCGACAAATTTGTAACCGCAGTCATGGTTTCCACACATGACTTCAATGTATACTGATTGGCCTCCACATCCGACTGCACTGCCATTCTTTGCTCCACAGACCGCATCGGAAAGTTCAGCGGAGTAAACTCCGGGGCACTTGGTTGAGGTTCCAACTAGCTGTGTTAAAAAAAATTTGTCATAATTAAAGGTAAAGAGAGGTCCGGCGGGCGGCCAAGGCGAGGCTGCCCCCCGCCGGTGAAGCAGAATGATTAGGTTGTTAACCTTGCTCTGATACCATGTTAAAAAATATATGTATTATTATTGATTGATGTTCTACAAGATTGTTTTCTTACAATTCCTATACAATCTATATATAGAAGAAAATGTGGTAGTAGGTGTAGTGGAGGTGATAGTGGGTTAGGTGAAGTGGAGTGTGTGGTGAAGTGGAGGTAGGTGAAGTGGAGTGTGTAGTGGAGTAGGTGAAGGTAAAGATGGGAAATTCTAACATATATGTATTGATAGAAGTTTCTATTCTTGAAATTGTATGGATACAAACACGAGACACGGATGTGATTTGATAAGAACACCCAACAAATTTCAAAAAAATTTAAAACACCACTTATGGCAGGAACATGGAAACAAAATAAGTAGAGATTTATATATACATGAAAATAATTACAATTTATTTTTTTAACATTATAAATATTTTTATATTTATTAAAAGTAAGAAATCATTTTCACAATTTTTCTGTTTGAAAAGAAGTGTGAGCAAAAAGTTGATTTTTTTCTTAATTAGTTTAATTCCCAAACAAATTGGCAGCATTAAGCATCTCATAGTCCTAAATTTAAAAAGGCCGAAGGAGGAGAGATAGGTAAGTATACATCCTTATTATTTTTATTTTAATAGTTGACTTTCATTTTATTTTCTTTAATTTGCCAAGTGTTTCATGTGTGTTAATAACACATAACTTCAATTGTCTGAAGTATGTGGAGTTCTAAAAAAAAATTGAAATATAATACGATTTGGATGTAAATGAAATTTTAAATTTTTTAGACTGAACACGCTTTGGATACGTCACACATACATATCCTTTGCTTAGATATGCATGAAACATTGTAAATTTGAACAAAAAAACTTAAGATACAATGATAAAAGAAAACAATGTAGATTTGTAGGAATTAGTGTTATGTTGTCCCTTTTTAAAAAAATTATCTTTAAATGATATTTTCATATATATGATATATAATTAATTTATCAAACTACATATTTTGTGTGTTCCCATGTGTCGTGTCTTGTATTTTTTGAAGATTAATGTGTTGGCATGTCTGTGTTGTGTCTGATGTCCGTGTCCACGCTTCTTCGGGAGAGTGTTTACTATTCTATTTGAAAATTTGTCTTTGCACAAACTACAGTTTGCTGCCTTATTTTGTGGTATAGTTCACCAAAATGCTCAGTTTCAATAACAACAATAGGCCGCCTTACCCCAATTTTAACGAAATATTCACTTGATAAGAATTATCATTAGGAAAGCACCCCAGATAATCTTGCCACTTGCCTGAATCTTTTGATTCATTTTAGAGTGCCAATGTAGCGGTAACAGAGCATGGTCATGAATTTGCTTACCTGACTTTTCAAACTACCAACTATTTTTAAAAATGTACTAGCGAACGACTCTCATGTACACACCTCTAATAGATGTTTACCAAGGAACCATATTGCTGCGAAACTGTTTGGCTGGAGATACCTTTTTATGGTGTAGGAAGCTATAAAGGTGTTGATTTGCCAGTGTGGTTGGTAGTGTCTCTAACAATGCATGTGTCTTGCCACATTTTAGGTCCATCATTTCATGCATTAAGTATGGGTACAATATTGGTCAAAGTTATGAATCAGACTCATATAAAAGACATAAGCAAACTCTAATTGGAGAGGTATAGGGAGCCACATGCCAAAGCATTTGGACGTGGATTTCCTTGTGATTATTCTATCTGAAAAATTCTTGCAAATTTCATATACGAGAGGCTAATATATTTTACTTCCCTCTTTTCTTTTCTTTTAAACAAATTGAGATTGTCACATTCCTGGGCTTACACCAGTATATGTCTGAATTCCCCTCTATTTAACTCATGGCAGATAGTGACTAAACAAAGTCGAAGTTTGACCCTAAATCTTCACAATAAAAATGGGCAAAGAGGTCTGAAAAACTTGGGGACACTTACTGTCCATGCTGAGGAAACTGTTGCTTCAAGGAATGCTGTTGAGATAACATTTCGCTGTTCGCACTTGGACAACAAGGACCTATTTTCCAAAAGTGTATGTATATGAAGCAGTTGTGCCTATGAGTTCTATTTTTACTCTTAGGTTTTTTGGCTCTTATTTGTTTCTTTCCTTTTACTCCTTTCAGGATCCTTTCTTAAGAATATCTAGGATTGTTGAGAGTGGAGGTTCTGTTCCGATTTGCAAAACAGAAGTTGTCAACAACAACTTGAATCCAATTTGGAAGCCCGTATGTCTGACTATGCAGCAATTTGGAAGCCAGGTAAGCTTGTGAGCCTCTTCTGATCAGTGGCTAGACCTTGTTTTACGTTTGATATCTGTGGTTTTCTTGTGTCTTTGTTCCAATAAGGAACTTAAGAACTGCCTGAATGGAACGACCCTTAGGATTTTGCATTATTGACTTGGAAATGAAATGCCCACTAGAGATCATTCTAACCAAAAAGAAAACTGTGTTCAGAATCCACTTATATTAACCAATATGCTATGATGATACAAATGCAGGTAACTATTAATTTTTCTTTCCTAAATGTTGATTGGTAACAATTCACTTGGTGCAGGATAACCCATTAGTTATTGAGTGTTTTGATTTCAATAGCAATGGCAATCATGTACTTATCGGGTAACTATTCCAATTCTCTCTTTCCAATTAAGTTTCTTGTTTTATATATTTTCGTTTAGTCATTCTGGCTAGGTCATACATACTAAATCTGCAGTTTGTTGTTAACAGTAAACTTCAGAAATCGGTGGCGGATCTAGAAAAACTTCAAAAAGAAAAAATTGGTGCAAATTTTATTTTTCCGTCTTCTCGTAACCGTGCTCATGACAAGGTATTTGTTTCTTACTTGGAAATAGTTTTTAGCTACATATTACATGTACCTGATGCCCAAAAGCCCTGGTATTTATCTATGTATAGGTTCTAAAGGGCCAACTGTTTGTTGATGGCTTTTGTGAGAAGAAACTGTACAGTTTTCTTGATTATATTTCTAGTGGATTTGAGCTGAACTTCATGGTAGCTGTTGATTTTACTGGTAATCAACTTTCAACATTCTATAAAACTACTTTATGGAGCCCGAAAAAGAAGAAGAAAATAATCACTTTGTACTGCAAGTTGCTTGTTTCATACACTGAAGTTTATATTTTTTCCAGCTTCGAATGGAAATCCTCGAAATCCAGATTCCTTGCACTACATTGATCCTACTGGGCGGTTGAATGCTTACCAGCAGGTATGGTCGTGTGACCATGGATGTTCTCAAATCTGGGATATCTTTTTTTCTTCATATAACTGGCATAATTAGTCCAACCAAGCAGGATAATTTAGTCAGATCGGAGATATCTTATAGTGTGATCTTAGCATAAGTTGCATAACTGATATTTTTATGGCTGCTGCACTCAATAGAATTAAAACAGACTCTTGAATTTTTCCAATGGGGATAACCACCACACCTTGTGGTGCGAGAGGTGATGGTGCCAACCCATAATGATTGGTCAAGGGGTTGACTCCCATACCCCTTCCTACAATGATTTAAGGATTGGCTCAAGCAACGTATCTTACTAATAAGAAAGGCACTATAAGTAGTGATCCTTTCTTTCAAGTGGATTCCCTTGTGTGGAATATAGGTGCCCACATTATTGTAATGAGTAAATATTATACAGAAATGGTAGGGACCCATAAAATTTATCCAGAAAAAGCACATTATGTGATTGAGATTCATTTCAAGTGTGGATCCCACTATACAAAAATTGAATCTGGACCACACATTACTTTTTGTGGTAAATTTTTTGGCATAATATACAAAGAGGGGATGCCTCAAATATATGAAGGGGAAGAAGAAAAAACAACAATACAATCCAATCTAATAGAAAATTATATAATGATATTACAAATATTATAAATAAATAAATATTGTAACATCCAAAGTATCACACTTGCATTTGTGTTTCATGCAGTCTTTTGTTTTTGAATTTAGTAGAAATACATCTTGGTTGTACATTGTATTGACTGAACTCCTTATAGGCCATAATGGAGGTTGGGGAGGTCATACAATTTTATGATTCTGATAGACGCTTTCCTGCTTGGGGCTTTGGTGGAAGAACATATGACGGTTCTATATCTCATTGTTTTAACTTAAATGGAGGTGCAAGTGGCTTTGAGGTAAAACTCTCTTTGCAAGGAATTAAGAGATATTGTGCTGTCCTTGTCTTTTAATTACTGCTTGATGTTATATCTTCAGAAAGTCTTCCTATGTTTATTCCCCTTGTTCTTTTTTTGATTAACTGCTAGTCCAGTTTTTATGCTAAAGAACCAAGTGTAGTGAACCAATGTTTTTTGAAACTCTGATATTGATTGAAGAATAAATGAATTGGGATGTTTTTTGAAGTCCAACAAGTATACAAGTCAATATGTTGTTTAATTTTTCAAGTTAATAGTAATAGCCAGAACAAAGAAGATATGAAGCAGTTAATATGATGTTTATTGTAAGAAGAAAAGTTATGGCAATCAATTTCATGTTTGTTGATGAGGTTTCTTGATATCTTCTCTGATTTCACGCATGTCAATAAGATTCTTTGATATCTTCTCTAATTTCATGTTTAAGGTAGATCCTTAGTGTGTCCAGCCTGCCAAAGAGATTGTGGATTGGAGTATTATTTCTTTCGTTCTTATCATGCGTCTTACATAGTTTTCAATTATTCAGCTCTGAAGTGAAAATGTTATTGCATCAACTTTTGTCCCTGTATTTTATGTGGTGTATTCAATTGGAAATATTTATGATCTGTTGTGCTGGTGAATATCACTTTAACACAGACCATTTATACAGACTATAGAAATATGGGAATCGGATAAATAAATAAAAAAAAGGGCCACCCCCTCTAGTGGTTTTTTTATTTTTATAAATTAAATTATTTTGGACTAAATAGAATAAAAGAAATTAATTTCTCATAACAAGTGTCTATTACAAGTCCTAACATGTAGAGAAGAGAAGAATGTGGTGGTGAAATCAACAATATACTTGACCGCATTCATTTAGAAAGACGTTAGGTTTTTAATGTCGATTCTATTATACATGCTTTTAATGACATGAAAGAGTGTCAAACACAATTTAGTATGTATCGCTTTAGCATATAAATTGTCTGTTACATATGCTTTTAATGACATAAAAGAGCTTCGAACACAAGTTAGTATTGTCTCACTTTAGCATATAAATTGTCTTATAATTGTTATCTTTTGTAACTCTATGTAGATACAAAGAAAGAAAAAAGAAAAAGAAAAAGAAAATAGAGAAGCTTTTGTTATTTTCATTTTAAATTTTTTGTTGGTCTATATGTTTGCCCCCTTTGTTACAATCCTAGGTCCATTCTCAATATAATAGGATGAAGTCAGTGTCGTTATTCTAATTTCTTTAACTTTTAGCATTTTTATCTGCTGCCAGAGACTGAAGGAAAGGATACCACTTTTTGAATTGCTATGTTGAGCAGATTTGTCATGCTGTTTCATTTTTGTTTGACTTGTATGTTTCATATGTTGTAATACCAGACCCACACATGGTGAGGTAATCTTATTTTTCAGTGGCAGTTTGCTACTTGCACTTCTCTTTCCAGCTATTGATTTATGTGGATAATCTGTGATGCCTGCTATTTATATATACAGAGGTGATGGTCAATTCCGTCTTCTTTTTACAGGTTGAAGGAGTAGAAGGCATCATGGCTGCTTATGCTAGTGCTTTGAGGAACGTTGCACTTGCTGGACCCACTTTATTCGGTCAAGTGATCAACACTGCTGCAGAAATAGCTGGTCGTTCGCTCTCCCAGAACAGCAGCAAGTATTTTGTCTTGCTTATTATAACGGTGAATGATAAATTTTCATTTTCAGTTTTTTCCTTTTTTCTTATTCTTTATTTTTGCAATAAAATGATTTTGAAACAATTTTACAGGATGGAGTCCTTACTGATCTCCAAGAAACTAAAGATGCTTTGGTGATGGCATCTGATCTGCCCCTATCCATTCTTATTGTTGGAGTGGGTGGTGCAGATTTCAAACAAATGGAGGTATATTCTTGTTTTCTGTAACAAATTATTTGCATTACATACTCCTGGACTATTTTCTATTAGTAATTACAGTACCGTACTTGTTTCTTGAAAATGTGAAACGTTGTTCCTCAGAAATTCTCTCCAATGTTTGGTGTGGTATAATTTCTCATTATTTGACAGATCCTTGATGCTGACAATGGACATCGATTGGAGAGTTCTACAGGGAGGATAGCCACACGAGACATTGTTCAGTTTGTTCCAATGCGTGATGTACATGGTGAGTTCTTACTTAATTTGATTTACTATTTCAAAGTCAGTAGAATATTTTGGTTTAGAGTTTTGCCCACATTTGGGCAGGACACGAGCTGGAATCTAACACAATTGGCTTTTTAATGCTCATTAGAGTTTAGTATTTCTGGTATTTATTTTCTTTTGTTAACCTCTAGGATATGTTTGGATGACAAGAAGTTTGAGAGGGAATGGGAATATTATTCCAGATTCTCATGATTCTAGCGTTTGGAACACATCAAAATGGGAAAATGATTATTAATTATCAATTTCAACAAGTATCACACTCCCCAATTTAATAGGAATCTGATTCCCCCACTTTCCTATGGGAAATCTCACATTCCTAGACGAATGTTGACCATTTAAGAGTACAAAATAATAATTGGGCTCACAATATTTAAAATTTTATTATTCTCATTGAGGATTCCTAATGAAACCAAATACTTGAATAGCATTGATGCAATGACACAAGATTTTTATTAGTAGCAATCATATTACTATTAATGAGATTCTCATTCCCTCTCAAGATTTTTGTTTATGAAGTGCTTCTAAAATGTTGTTGTACAAGTTCCAGGTAATACCTGGTATGGGTAAGTGTACCAGTACGGCTAGATGCGTGCCGGATATGCAAAATACATATCTGGTGGGCAAAATACTTTGGGTGTATGGTTTTTTTGTTGGTGCTATACTAAAATGTTAGGTAATTTTGTAAATTATTTATAAAAAAATATGAAAGATACATAGGGTAAAAAGGAGGTGAAGAAAAAGGAATAGATAGGTTTTTATTGTTGGCTCCCATGCTGTCACACAGTTGCACGAGGAGAGTTGTATTGTTTATGCAGCAAAGCTAGACATGTAAGTTTCACAACCTGAACTGGGTTTTGCAACTCAGATGATGACGAAGTCAGCTTCATTTCTGTTCATAAAAGGGACCTTAGTGCAATTCACAAGATGCTAGGTATCCATACCAACATCTAATATAACCTGTTTCATCTTCTCCCTCATTTTGGAGGTTTTCGCTCTGCGCCAGGAATTTCTTTTCTGGTCTTTTGCCAGTTGAGCTTCTATTTTCACTTTATCTTGTAAGTTTTGTTTTGTGTTTCTGCAGGTGGACAGATATCAATTGTTCAGAGTCTATTGGAAGAGCTACCTGGTCAGTTCTTGACTTACATGCGGAGTAGAGACATCAAACCGCACACTGTTAATCTCCCCCAAGCTCCTTTTCAAGATCATCCTGTCTAGAGCTCTAAAAAGAACCTTGAATAAGTGGAGCAAATATCTCCTTTTTCTCTTCATATGGTATATAAATAGAATATAATAGAGAAAAAATTGCACATATTTAGTAAGGACAAAATACTCTTTTGGCTTAGCAAGCAGTGTTTTGAATTCTTTTAAGCATGTGGTATAAGATAGGCAAATGGTGGTTTATACTCATTTTAGTGTTTTCAGATTGTTTTGTGTATTGTTAAGGTTCTCAAGGTTGGGGTTTTAAAAATGGTCTGTATATTGGATATCATATATTCATGTTGGCCAAGAATTGGTCGTCATTTTGAAATTATTGAAGTTTGCTCTATGTGGATTTTAAGTTGTTGGACAAGCTATGTAAATGGAATGGTCATTCCTTAACAATAATTATTCCTTTATAATGATAAATAATGCTTCTATTTGCAATATATTTTATAGTTTTTATTGAACCAAATATGACAATAACATTATGATGAAATGATGATTTCATTCTAGTTGATTCTAACAAACCGTACATAGCATAAGGACTGTCATAATCTTTTCTTTTTCTTTTTTTGTTTTTATACGGTGTGTTAGGGTTGGGTGGTGAATAAAACTCTAACTTGGGGGAACTAAAATCTTAGGACTATAACATTTATAGTTCTTCGTTTAATGTCTACAAAAAAAAAAATAATAATCTTTATAATGATAAATAATGCTTCTATTTGCAATATATTTTATAGTTTTTATTGAACCAAATATGACAATAACATTATGATGAAATGATGATTTCATTCTAGTTGATTCTAACCAACCGTATATAATATTTAATAAAATTTTATAACCAAAAGAAGAGAAGGTTGGTCTTATGTGTGAGCAAATTTTCATTGTTTTCCCTCTCTCTCCCACCTTTTTCAGCAAATCATCCACGGTTCATCACCAAAACGATCAACCACCTTGGGCTACACCACCTTTAGCTATATGTGAGTAAATTTTCATTCTTTTCCCCTTCTCTCTTCCACCTTTTTCAGCAAATCATCCACCGTTCATCACCACAACCATCAACGACCTTGGGCTACCCCACCTTTAGCCACGATGGCCAGCTGACACTCTTTGACCACTATTGCTGCACATCACTTTTGTCCACCATTTCCTGTAGTTAGGAACCACCTTTGGCACCGACAAACCACCACCTCTAGCTATAGAAAATCACATCTAGAAACCATCTTCGACCGCCACCTCCCAATGGAGCCATCCCTAGTCACCATTTCACACGAGAAATCATCTCTTGATGGTGGCAACTGTCTTCAACTACCATATCTTTCTAGCAACACTTACAGTCGTCCTCTTTTCACCTATTTTCAAAATAAAATTTAAAACATGCGAAAGTGCCAAATATATTTTTTGCTTTTATTTTTATTTTTTTAAAAACATTTTTGGTACTTCAACTCAAACAAAGGGTTAAACAGGAGGACAACCATCAAACACTAGAGTGTCCACCAGCCACACAAGTGGTATTGCATCCCAAGTACAACACCAAAACCTTTCACCAGCAAATTTAGATAGTTTATGTGCCCCACCATTACCATCAAAATTAACCTTAACCCAACCCCAATTTGGTGGCTGCCAAACACGATCCACACTACCTGCTGTTGTCAGTCCCTCCTCAGCCATCATATTAGCAGTCTGATATGCCGAAGCTCTGTCCACTTTAGACAATAAAGTTAAAGTTTCTCTAGAGATCCTTTTTGTTGTGAAGTCTTCATTGCTCATCTTATCGAGCTTTGCTCCTCCAAGTAGAGCAAAGTCCCATGGTAGATTCCTAAGCAAAAGCACCAGCTTGGGCATCCTCACCCTTACTCTACTAAGTGGAAAAGTCTATTCCTCTTGAAAAAGGAAAAACCCTAGCAGATGCTCCAAAGCTCACAACTGCTCTCCAAAAATAAGAAACCTTGAAGACGTTTTAGGCAGGTTTTTTTTTTTTTTGAGTACGAATTTGGAAAGGGAAAGGAAAAATGTGGATGAAAATGTCTTCCTAAATCCATAATCCAAACATCGTCTTAATCTTCCCAAGGTGGATATACATGTTTTCTGGCAGCTATAGCAACCATTCTACAAAACTCAATATACCTTTTAGGCTTTTAATGCCGGCAACCAAATACAGAAAATATAAAACACTTCATTGTCTTCATATTTTCTGTCAACAAATGTAGACAACTCCTGATAAATTTGTACAGCTCCCAAGAATAAAAAATAAATTATTAAATAATTATTTATTGTTTTATCACATAGGCAGAAAAATTCCAAAATTTCTCACCAACCTTTTATTTCGAGATATTTATAGGAGAGGAAGGAATCATCCTATCCTACTCAGCTAAATGTTGCTGAGGAGGTGGATGCTTTAACTATTGTCTTCTTAGACTGTGGTTGCCCAACAATAAACAACTGTTTGAGATCAATGATAGTGATAACCTGAGAAAGTGCTCTCCTTATCAACTTACATCTATCCACGAACAAGCTGGGCAATTGTCATGCACTAGTTTTTAACAGATTAATTAGGTGAAAACTAATTAACCTAAGTGTGATTATTCAATAAAAATCCTCATTTTTAATCTCACTAATTATGTTACTTCAATTCTGAAACCATTTCCTCTTTGTTTCCATAAACTTCAAAATAATACCGTTTGCCTCAAAAAATGTTTTTACCACCATCCATGCACTCAGTTTTCCAATAATGGAATCCAAAGTCATTAATGATACAATTAAAGTGTTGGTTTATCAAAGATGCTTCTTTTTTCTTCTTCTTCTTTATTTTTTATTTGGTGTGTGTGTGTATAAAAAGTCTCCACAACTAGGATAGTTTATTTTGAGAAACTGGGTTAACTCCACTGTTTTTATGGAAGTTCTATTCTATTGTTTCACAAAAATATTCCTTTTTCTTTTATTTTCCATGGAAGTGCTAATTGAAGCCATAAACACCCATTTAATTATTTATTCAAACTAGTTCACACATGCTTTGGCATAGTCTCACCTCGACATCCAACGTCCCATATACATGGCAATGAAATGCAGTCTAATATATAAATATCACAGACCAAGATTTACACACTTACAACAAAAAAGGAAGCTCTATGCCCAAATGAACACATGGTCTCCGATCACAAACAAAAAGGATGGTGGCACACACGAGTCAATTAAGGCTGTGGTCTCTCGTCCGTACCTGTCAGGTAGATGAGTGAGCAAACCAACACTTTGACCATATTTTCTATTACAACTAGGAGCTTCTCTAGTAAACACAGATAAAGGAGGGTTGCTTGCTATTGTTATAGCATGAACAACAATCTTTTGTTCTCCTATGATCAGCCAATATCTATCTAAACTTGGCAGCACAACAAAATTGTTCAGATTTATTCACACATCAACAAATTCAAGACAGTTGAAAAATTTTCAAAAATAAATTCACAAATCAACAAATTCTAGACTAATCTCCAAAAAAAGCCGAGAAATTTCAAAAAAATAAAGTTGCAAATGAAAATTCAAAAATTGCCAAACATCAAACTTAAAGATATTCAGAGTTTAGAGTTTTATTTAGGTAGACTTTGAATGGTACATTTCAATTGAAGGATACCTCTAAACTCTTTTGTGATTAACCTGGGTTGGACCACGCATCATCTCCTAGTTGGACCATAGACAAAAAGATCCATGAAAATGTAGATTGAATGATGATTCTAAAATGAAAAATTTTAAAAAATGATTTACCTGAATCGTTGGAACAAGATCAACACTACCGACACGAAAAAGATCTGAGAAGCCCTTGGTTTGGACTGATTTCAAACAATGATTTTCTCATTCGTTACAATCCAATCACTACGTCAACGATTTGAAACCACATATTATCGATTTACCTTGATCGGCACAGCCAAAATGTGTGCGTGTGTGTGTGTGTGTGAGAGAGAGAGAGAGAGAGAGAGAGAATGAAGGAAAAAAAAAGGAGTCCGGATCCTCTCCAGCCAAAGAGTCACTCCTGTCCTCCGGTCAAGGGCCACGATTTGGCCACGTGGCCCTTTGAAGATCTACAGCTAAAAAAAAAAAAATTGAATTTCTTCATTTCGACCCAGCACAAAGCTTCCCTCCCATTCAGGAGTCCATTTTCCCTCCTCTTCGAAGCTCTTTTTCCCTCCTTCTTCCAAGCTTTGGCGATTGGCGAAGTCGACGGCAAACATCGAGGACGATCGGCGACGAACATCGACGGTGAACCAACGTCCGGCGACCCCGCGAACCAAAGCTCCACTTCGTCATCAACTGAAGGTAATGTTTGTCATGGCTGGGAAATATTGTTATTGTCTGCAACTACATTGATTTTTCTAACTAGTACACCTTTTGAGTATAAAAAGAAAATTAAGGAACATTGTTCTGTTGTTGTCATTGTTCTGTTCATGGTACCATGGTTGAGAACAAAGGGACATTGTTCCCCAGGAGTCCATGTTTTATTGTCTACATTGTTTTATTGTCATTTTTTTATTGTTCTCAACCATGGTACCATGAATAAAGCTAGAACATTGAGGTTTAGTTTTGTTATTGTCTGCAACTACATTGATTTTTGGCTCAGATGTTTTATTTGTTGTATTCCATGACCAATTTAAACTGTAAAAAGTGTTGGACCAAAACTATGTATAGATATAGCTTTGTTTTATGTAATTTTTCCCCATATAAGTTTTCCTTACCAGGAACAAAAGATTCAATGCACAGGTTTGTCATGGTTGGGGAACATTGTTATTGTCTGCAACTACATTGATTTTTCTAACTAGTGAGCAATACATAGATGTTTTATTTGTTGTATTCCATGACCAATTTAAACTGTAAAAAGTGTTGGTGGTTGAAACTATATATAGATATAGCAATACATTTACGACATATTCTTAATGCTTATAATTTGCTTTTTAGCTATAACTGGGTGTCTCAAAAATTATTTTAGCTTCTGTATTTGTCAGAATTTTCCAGTTCAGGTTCTATATTAGCTTCTATAAATATAGAGCTCAAATATTTTATCCTCCCATGTTCAAACCTGTACTAATTTTTTCAACTTGAAACAATTTACAAGTACACATAATCTTTCTTAAAGCATGTACATGATATTTAGAAAACAAGAGGAAACAGAACATTTTTACCCCAAAAAAAAAAAATTAATCATTTTATTATTGTGTATTGATACTTCTCCCATTTGATTGCCTCTACTTTTCAGTTGCGTTGTTATATGGATATGGAACCTGACAATGATTGTGGTTGGAAGCCAAAAGTAGGAATGACCTTTGATTCAGAAGAAAGTGCGCACGATTTTTATAATGCATATGGAGGAAGAATGGGATTTAACATAAGAAGGGAATATTGTAAGAAGAACAAGTTAACAAAAAAAATTATTTCTAGAAATTTGGTATGCAACAAAGAGGGATTTCGGAAGGTTGACAAGCGAGACCCATTGACAAAAACCCCTAGAGCTGAAACTAGGACTGGTTGTGAGGCCCGACTTTTTGTTAAATTGGATGTCAATAGTGGGAAATTTGCTGTGATTGATTTCAAAGAAAACCACAACCATGAACTTGTATCTCTTGATTGTGCCCATATGTTGCCATCGCAAAGAAAGATATCAGATACCCAAGCAATTGAGTTAGACTTAGCCTCAGAGTCTGGTCTACGTTTAGGGCAATCTTTTGAATTGATGGGTAGGGAAGCTGGAGGGAGGCAGTCTCTTGGTTTTATGAAATTAGATCAAAAAAATTACTTGAGAACCAAAAGACAAAAAAGTTTAGCGTATGGGGAAGTAGGTAATGTGTTGCAATACTTTCAACAAAAATCTTTGGTATAGCGACCCCGGTCTTCTCCCATTTGATTACTGTATCCGGACTTAGGTTCCGTAGATTCTGTCATTGTATAGTTGTTGTTGTTGTCCCTTATTTTCTCATGTGGAGTTATAGGATGTGTTGGGCAGGTTTGTTTCAGGTTGGTTGGGTTTAGAAACCAAGTGTTGCATGGATTATGTCCAATTTGGCGATGTAGTTACATTTGATACTACCTACAAGTTAAATAAAGAGCATAGGCCATTTGCATCTTTTGTGGGATTTAATCATCATAGAGAAACAGTTGTTTTTGGTGCTACGTTGTTATATGATGAGACTGCCGAAACATTTGTATGGTTATTTCAAACTTTTTTAGAGGCTATGTCCAAAAAGGCACCAAAAACTTTGTTTACCGATCAAGATGCTGCAATGGCTAAGGCCATACCCATTGTCATGCCTGACACGAGTCACCGTTTGTGCACTTGGCATTTGATGCAAAATGCATTAAGGCATGGTAATTGTCTCTTTCAAGATAAGGGGGTGAAAGGTGTATTAAATAGATTCATGTTTGATATTGAGGATGAAAATGAATGGGAAATGAAGTGGGGGGAAATGCTTGATACATATGATGCTCATGACAATCATTGGTTGAAGTTGATTTTTGGGGTGAAGGAAAAATGGGGTTGGCCATATGTTAGATCAACATGGGCTGCGAGAATGAGTACAACACAACTTAGTGAATCTTTTAATGCGTTTTTGAAGGAATACATTCGTTCTGATTTTAATTTAAATGAATTCTTCATGCATTTTGAAAGGGTACTTTGTGAGAAACGGTACAAGGAGTTAGAAGCTGGATATGCTTTATGCCAAAGGTTGCCAAGGATGAGAGCGCCATTCTTAATGTTAAGTCAAATGGGTAATGTGTACACTAAAAATATTTTTGAGGAGTTTCAAGATGAGTATTTTCTTTCTGTTGAATTAGACATACAAGCAATTGAATACATTGATGGTTGTAGCCTATATACAGTTGTTGATGCTATTGGGAAAAATGCAAGGAAAGTGAAAATGGAGATGGATGGCTCTTTGACTTGTAGTTGTTCAAAGTTTGAAAGGAAAGGGATTTTGTGCAGTCACTGTTTGAAGGTTATGAGAGAAATATTGAAGTTGAAAGAGATTCCTTCGCAATACATTATGAAGAGGTGGACCAAACAAACAAGAGGAGAAGCTGTGACGGACAAGTTAGGGAATGAGATTCAAGTAGATGTCAAATTCAAACAAGCCTCATGGTATAAGACATTGATGACCGCATTTAGATCAATAGCATGTAGAGCTGCTGAAACTGAGGAAAGTTATGATTTTTGTTGTTCACAAGTAGCTGCATTAGGTGCACATGTTGAAAGCAAGATAAGTGCACATTTTTGTCCCCAAAAAGAAGTAAGTATTAATGATCAACCTCAAACCTGTGAGCAAGAAGACAACAATCATGAAGACAACAATCATGTTGTGCAAATTCCAATAGGAATGAAGAAAAAGCATCCAACTAGTAAGGGCAAAAGAAGGATAAAAGGTCCATGTGAGCTGGCATTGCAAGCAAGCTTTAAAAAGAAGTCCTGTGCACAATTTTTGAGTTCTTCAAGACTTGTTGCTGCTCCAACAGTGAGACCTTCACCATTATCTATTGGAGGAGATGTAAGTATTCATGAAAATGTTACTCCTCTTCATCCTTCTCTTGCTCCCCCTCCTCCTCCTCATTCTGTTGCCATGGGTGGTACAATTCCTCCTCAATTAATATATCCCACATATAATGTGAGTCAGATTTGTAGCCAAGTAATTTGTGTTTTGTTAATTAATTTTTCATTTGCATCTTGTAATGAATCGTAATATAATATGAATGAATTGTAGGCAAACAATTTGGCATATTGTGGACAACCAACATTTATGACACTATTTCAAGGTGGGTATGACATTGGGTTTGAAGATTCTCAAGGCTCACAGACAGGTTCTCGGCCAACAAATAATTTGTTGCTCCATACTGAGGTACTTTTGCTGCTGATTTGGTACTTTTGTTGCTGATTTTGTGCTGCTAAAATGCTGTTTTCGTGCTGATTTTGTGCTGTTGTAATGCTGGTTTTGGTGCTGATTTTGTCCTGCTCAAGTATAGTTTTGGTGCTGTTTTTTTTTTTTTTCCAGGGTTTGGATGGCCATGAAGAGGTGGAAGGCACTTCAAATTTCATGCATAGGAGATGCCTCTGAGCTGCTGTATTTAACATTGATGTTGATGTTGAAGTTGAAGTATTTAATTGTGAAACTTGTTGAATGGTGAAATTTGTTGAAACGTGTTAACTATTTAATGTTGATGTTGATGTTCAATGGTGAAACTTGTTGAGCTGTTGTATTTTGATTGTGAAACTTGTTAAGTATTTAATGTTGATGTTGATGTTGAATGGCGAAACTTGTTGAAGTATGTGGGATATATTAATGGAGTTTATTTTGTTTTGGATAATTTATTTTATGTTTTTTTGGATTATTTACTTTTTGGTTGTTTTCATAATTTGGTTTATTTAAGTCAATGTACCATCTCTCTTAATGGTGTTTAGTAGGATATGAAAACACATTGTTTCATAATTTTAAACATTTGCATTATTCAATTTATGTTCACTTGCACTGAGCTCTAGCTGTATTCAAAATCTTTGATCAAAATTTGTCTCCAAAACTTTGTCTTAAAAAACAGTGTTGAAAAAACATTTGTTCAAAATCTGTTCACAAATCTATCTTTCAAAATCTTTGTTCAAAATATGTGCTGAAAATCTGTCTTCAGAAACTATCTTAAAAAACTTGTGTAAAAAAATCTGTCTACAAAAACCTGTGTTCAAAATATCTGTTCACAAATTTGTCTTTCAAAATCTGTGTTCAAAAATTGTGCTGAAAATCTGTCTTTGGAAATTGTCATAAAAAACTTGTGTAAAAAATTCTGTCTTCAAAAAACTGTGTTCAAAATATCTGTTCACAAATTTGTGTTTCAAAATCTGTGTTCAAAAACTGTGCTGAAAATCTGTCTTTGGAAACTGTCTTAAAAAACTTGTGTAAAAAATTCTGTCTTCAAAAACCTGTGTTCAAAATATCTGTTCACAAATCTGTTTTCCAAAATATGTGTTCAAAAACTTTGCTGAAAATCTGTCTTTGGAAACTGTCTTAAAAAACTTGTGTAAAAAATTCTGTCTTCAGAAACCTGTGTTCAAAATATTTGTTTACAAATCTATCTTTCAAAATCTGTGTTGAAAAACTGTCATGAAAATCTATCTTCAGAAACTGTCTTCAAAAACCTATGTCAAAAAATAAGCCTTCAAAACCTGTGTTCAAAATATCTGTTCACAAATACTTCAACAAGTTTCAGCATTCAACTTGTTAAGAATTTAATGTTGATGCCACTTCATCAAACAAAAAAAGCCATTACATTCATTACCACTTGAACAAAATGGTAGTGGTCCACCATACATTACATACACATTCAACGTACATTACAAGTCATACTCATACTATCTTACATTACATACACATTCAACCTACAATACAAGTCATACTGACACTACCTTACATTACATACACTATTTCAAATACACTAGAATCACAACTACCACCAACAACAAAACAAAAAAAAAACAAAGGCGTAATTCAATTTTTCACCAACTCTTTCAACCACCATTGCCAAGTCTTTATATTGTTTCCTACTCTTCATAGTCATGTCTTTGAGCTCCCCATTCACGATAATTACTTCTCTAAGAGTAGACAAGATTTGCATGCGTTTTTCATCAATATCATGCTCGACCACCTTCAAATTATGCTGCATATGTGGAGGGATCCACCACTGAAAGAAGTTACAACCATTCGGATAATTGGGGCATACAAAATAAAGGCAATTTGGATTATCTGTTGACTGAGAAATCTTCACCATAGCTTTTTTGCCACATCGACAATTGCGGTTTTCGAATCTAATTTCATGCATGTTGTCCATACTTGCATTTGTGCTTGACATTGACATTGACCTACAAAAATTATTAAGTAGCACAAAAATTATCAAATAGCCTGATTGCCTTTATTCCAACAAGAAAAACCACAATATAGTAGTGTGAAAAGCCAAATCCATTCTCACATTTTGGACTCTCACAAACTATCATTGTGTAAATTATTAGAGCTTATTAATGGTGAATGATTACTAGGAACAATCTTAATAAAAAAGTGAAGCCCCCATTTTTGCAGGCAATGCAGCATACAGGGACTTCCTCTTCAATACTTTTCAAGTTTCATAAGTTGACATGAAGAGTGCAGCTGTGGTGATGGTAAATGCTTCTTAATTTCCTGCTTATTGTTTAATCACTCTGTAAATCTTCTTAATTTTTACTGCTTCCTATTGTATATGTAGTTCAGAATATGTCAGTTTAAGCAAGGCATCATTCAAAAAATTAGCATTTGGGAAGGTAGACTCTTCATCTAACAGAGACAATAACCCCAATGGTTTATGCATCCAAGAAAGAGGTCAAAGGGCATTACTTAATATGTATATACATAATAAATGTGATAGACAGACAGTAAATAACAATAGGTTTAAACCTTTTAACAAAAGCACCGGAAACTTTATTTTCATTACCAACCAATCCTCCACCCCAATTTATTTTCATTACCAACATCTGATATAGACTTCCAACATCGTACCACGTAACTATTCATAACATGAGGGGGGGATAATGTTTCAATTTGTACAACACACAAAAAAATCAATATTAGATCTTCATGGTTCTTTTGGATTTTGACAAGGCACAGAGGACAATATCATCTTATACTAACAACGTTAAAAACACAAGAAACAAAACACTACAAACACTACGCATCATAATTAGCACATTGAAGCCAATGCATCAATGATCTCTATACCTTTTCAAAAAGATTCAAACAGTCTTGGTTGTCTTCAAAATCAACTCTGGCCCAATCAATGCCGTCTTGGATATATTCCTAACACAGAAATTTCAATTGTCAATCGAAAAGAGTTACAGGATAACTACTCAATAGATTTGACTATCACTAAAATGGACTTTCTGTCCATTGTAAACAAAAAGAGACCAGTATTATAAGATTCAATGGAAAGTAACATTTTTAACATTCCCATATCAACGCTGAACCATTGATGTTCATGAAAATTTGAACACAAACTCAATTGATATATTTGGGCCTCTTGCTGCTGTCAATGCTGCCAAAGCTGTCATTCAATTTGTCAAAAATTACCATGAAATGCCTACCCAATTCTAAGAAAAACATATATGGATTTGCTAAATATTTGGAATTGTTGTGTTGCAAGTTTATTTATAAGAATAACAAAGTCAAAAGCAAGTGAACCAATGCTGCCAAAACTGTCATTCAATTTGTCAAAACATTACCATGAAGCCTTCCCAATTCTAAGAAAAACATATATGGATTTTCTATATATTGGAATTTTCCTTTTAAAAAAGTGAAGAACTATGCTTATGTTAGCATTTAGGAGAGAAGAAATAGTTCCAAAGTCCACTAAAAAGCACATTTGGGGCAAAATTTAGTCAATAGGAACAAAGTAAGAGAACTAGATAGATAACAGAGCATACAAGAAACAACCCAAAAACTGTTAGTTTATAAGCACTGGCCAATCCACAATCAAATATGCATTGCCATCTCCTTCACTAATTTGAAGATCAAATAAATCAACAATTATAAGGCAGTCCAAACTACTAAGAATTGGCCAATCCACAACCAAAGCAAACATTTAACCTGAAAAGACATTTAACTGGCCAATCCGAAGGACGGGAGATTTTTTATGGTGCTTCAGATTTTTTCAATCTAAACAGACATTTAACTAAAGTGGTGCTTCAGATTTTTTCAATGGTGCTTCAGATTTTTTATGGCCAATCCGAAGGACGACAAATTTTTTTTTTTCCTTTAACTATGGTTCGCGGCTCAAATCGCAGTCCAAATGTTCGGAGTAAGACAGAGGGAGAGAGAGAGAGCCCACCGATGTTCGCCATCGACGTCGATTCGCCGTCGTCGGTCACGACATGCCGTCGCCGTTCACCGATCTGGAGAAGAAATTCAAATTTTTTTTGTGGTGTGTGGCTGTGTTGAGGGAAGCTTTGTGCTGGGTCGAAATGAAGAATTTTTTTTTTTTCTGAGCCGTAGATCTTCAAAGGGCCACGTGGCCAAATCGTGGCCCTTGACCTGAGGACAGGAGGGACTCTTTGGCTGGAGAGGATCCGGACTCAAAAAGAAGGTAACAAAAATAAAAAATGAAAAAAAACATTTCATGTCAAGTACAAAACATATTTGTCAAAAACGACTTATATTCTTTTGTGGTGGTGTGTAGAACGAACACCCCCAACGGTTGGAGACTTCTATCATACGCACCATATGCATTTTTAGTTGCTAGCGGTTGGCACACGCGCGATGCGTATGCAATTCAAATAAATAAAAATAAAATAAAATATTTATCATATATTGTGTGCTAGTTAAGTGGTAAAAGTCTTATTGACATAAGTCTAAGGTTCAAATCCTCTCATCTATCTAATTTTTTTTTTTATTTCAAATAAAAAAGTAGACACGTGGTAGCATAAGAAACAAAGGTTTCAAGACACCATGAACAAAGGTTTCAAGACACCATGAGGGATGTTCACTTTATAATTATAAGTCTAACGTTCAAATCTCCTCCTCTCATCTATCTTTTTTTTTTTAATTTTAAATAAAAAAGTAGATACATGGTAGCATAAGAAACAAAGGCTTCAAGACACCATGAGGAATGTTCACTTTATAATAGTATAGATAGATAGATAAAAATGTTTGTGAGTTTTAAAATAACAACTATAAAGGAACTTTAGGGATGGGATGGGGATCTACCCATTTTTAGTCCTCCTCCTCCTTTTTGTTTTTTGTTTTTTTATTTTTATTTTCATCACATCATTAAAATTTAATTAGAGTTCTAAAATTAAAGTTATATATCATTACTCTTTTAGTTATGGCTTCATTTGACATTAGTTTTTTTGGATTAAATTAGTTACATAAAAAATAAAAAAAAAGAATAAAATAAGTTAAAAAATTAATAAGATAAAATGTCACATTTAAATTATGATTATTTCATTTTTTCTTTAAAAAAAAAAAAGAGTCGATCCATAAGAACTTTTTAGCTGGAGGTAAAATAATTAAAAAGTCAACTAAAAAAGCCACATGCCAAATAGGAGTAATGTTATTTTCTTTTTTAGTTATGATTAATTTTCACTTTTAGTTATGATATTATTTTGAGATATTTGGTTA